GAACAATATCATTAATATCACATGCAAGTAAAATCATACTGAAGATAATTAAAACATGTTTGCAGCAGTATATTGACAGAGAACTTCCAGAAGTGCAAGCTGGATTCAGAAGAGGACATGGAATGAGGAATAATATCATTGTTGATGTCAGATGGATCTTGGCTGAAATCAAAGAATAGCAGAAAGATGTTTATTTGTGTCTTATTGACTATGCAAAAACATTAGATTGTGTCAATCATAATAAATTCTGGATAATATTGTGAAGAATGGGAATTCCAGAATACTTACTTGTGCTCATAAGGAACCTGTACATAGACCAGCAAGCTGTAGTTTGAACAGAACAAGGGAATACTGCATGGTTTAAAATCAGGAAGGGTATGTATCAGGGTTGTATCCTTTCACCATACTTATTCAATCTGTATGTTCAGCAAATAATCTGAAAATTTGGACTATATGAGGAAAAATGTGGCATCAAGATTGGAGGAAGACTGATTAACAACCTGTGATATGCAGACAACACAACCTTGCTTGTTGAAAGTGAGGATGACTTGAAGTACTTACTGATGAAGATTGAAGACTACAGACTGCAGTATGGATTACCCCTCAACATAAGGAAAACAAAAATCCTCACAACTGGACCAAAAAGAGGCATCATGATAAATGGAGAAAAGATTGAAGTTGTCAAAGATTTCATATTACTTGGCTCCATAATCAACACTCATGGAAGCAGTAGTCAAGAAATCAGATGGCTTATTACACTGGGAAATCTGCTTCAAAAAGATGTCTTTAAAGTGTTGAAGAGAAAATATGTCACTTTCAAGGATAAGGTATGCTTAACCCAAGCCGTGGTACTTTCAGTTGCTCATATGCATGGGAAGCTGGACAATGAATAAGGAAGATCAAAGAAGAGTTGATACTTTTGATTTGTGGTGTGGTGAAGCATATTGAAAATATCATGGACTGCCAGAACAAACAAATCTGTCTTGGAGGAAGTGCAGCCAAATGATCCTTGGAATCAAGAATGGCCAGACTTCATCTTACCTGCTTTGGTTATGTTGTCAGAAGGGACCATTCCCTGGAGAAGGATATCATGCTTGGTAAAGTGGAAGGTTGATGAAAAAGGGGAATACCCTTAATAAGATGGATTGACACAGTGTCTGTACAATGGGCTCGGGCATAGCAAAGATTTTGAGGCTGTCGCTGGATGGAGCAGTGTTTTGTTCTGTTGTGTATGGGTCACTATAAGTCAGAGCTGACTTGACGGTACTTAACAACAACAGAAGACCTCCATATGGAGGAGTCCAGGAACATGGATTGGAGTGCGGTCTGAGCTGAAGGTAAAGTTGGAGGTGATCTGCATGGAGAAGACAAGTGAAGGCATGAGAATACTCAGGGGGAATATAGAATGAGCAGGGAAAAGGAGAGACGAATGGAAGGAAGTATGGTGGCATGGGTCTCTTGGATTCTGGAGATGCTTTGGTGGCTGAGATTGAGACAGTCATGTCTACTATAGGATAAAGGGTCACTATTCACTATCATCTCTTAAAAGTTGGGTTGAGTAAAATGAATGTGACACAGGCTTACTTATTGTTACCTCTAGGAGAGGTACCCTTAATCTTTTTTTCCTTATGTGTGGTCAGAGGAGATCAGAAGCCTGAAGTTTTTAGTAGCTTGACCAGATCAGAGTGACCACTGAGCAAGCGACAAGGCTATATCACCCCAGGGCAAAGTTGTGGCCTCAAACACTTAATTCTTAAGTTAGGCATCTTATAATATTGTCTTAGCTATTATATGTCCCCTTGATTTCTGGAAAACACTTGTGTCCTAATGTAAGTACAGGTAGTCGCTGGACTTACAAATACTCAAGTTACTATGAAGCACACTTGGGACTTTCTGGGTTTTTGTTTGTTTCCTCTTATTGTTACTAATGTGCATTGCATATAATACTGCAACATGTAATTTGCTGATGTTATTGTTCTCAGATGTTTACTCGTAGATATTTATAATGTTTTCAACCTCCAAAGACAAATAAAAATTGGATTTATGAAGATGATAATAAAAGGCAATAATAATGAAAACTGAAAAAAAAAGATGTATGCCTTATGACAGAGTTCTCAGAATGGAACCCTGTCATAAGTTGTGGACTACCTGTATGTTAGGTGTAGTAATGTGGGGTGGTAGGAGATGCTTTTCTGTACATATATGACTGTAGCATTTATGACATTTTCTGTTACTTGACTTGGGCCATGACCTATACTTACAGGGAACATGAGTTTTAACAAAATAAAAAGTCTTATCCTCAAGGGATTTATTTAATAGGGAAGTAATAACACATTTTCAAATCAACCATCTCAGAAACAATGCGTAGTGTAATTGCAAACAATTGGTTTGATATAAATTGTACATAAATGAGTTAATATCAAATTTAAAAAAAAACAAGCTATCTATGTTTTTAGCATTTGGTGTCCAAGCAGCAGTGGTTTCTCACTCTCAGAAGAGGATAGTGGGATCTGCAACTGTGTCGCCATCTCTCCCCTTTCCTCCACTCGTCATAAACCCCAGGCATATGATTAACCTCCCAGTCTTTTTTATTCATCCAACCCCATTTAGAGGAGCTCTGGTGGCTTAATGCCTAAGGCATTTGACTGCTAACCAGAAGGCTGGTGGTTCAAACCCACCAGCTACTCCTTGCAAGGAAGGTTGGGCAGTCTACTTCCGTAATGATGCTACTTCAGAAACCCAAGAAGGGAGAATGCCTGAGAGAGCCAGCTGGTGTCCATTGCTGCCACCGTGAGGACAAACAGGGGAATGCAATATTCTTTCGGCACTTGGGAAATGAAACAAAGAAATAGAATCACAATCTTTCTTTTTGTTTTTCTTCCTTTACTTCCTCCTATCATTTATTTTTCCCTAATGACATACAAATTTACAGTGTTATCCTTTGAACAGTTTCCCTGTTGAAATTCTTCAATGGTTTCACTTTTTTTGTGGTTATTTTGTATTGTTTTACCAGCTGTGGTTTAGGATCCATAATGAAACTCATCGAGCCAGATGAGAAACAGAGCTAAGTTTCTTCAGAAGCGAAAATAAACAATGTTTTATAATGACTGTGTTTCTTATTTTTGCCTATGGTTTAATGACCTATTTAAATGTTAGAATATGCCCTTATGATTTTTAAACATCTTTCTTTGCAACTTAACAATATCCTTCAACAATCAAAGTTGTTGTTGTTGTTGTTGTTAGGTGCTGTGGAGTCAGCTCCAATTCACAGTGACTCTGTGTACAACAGAACAAAACACTGCCCAGTCCTGAGCCTGCCTCAAAATCCTTGCTATACCTGAGCCCATCGTTGCAACCACTGTGTCAATCCATCTCATTGAGGGCCATTCCCTTTTTTGTTAAAGCTCCGATTTACCGAGCATGATATTCTTCTCCAGGGCTAAGAACTCATGATGTTAATCTATGCTATGAAACACACACACACACACACACACACACAC